TTGTTGGTTACGTGCACCATTACATCCTGCTTTTATTTTGCTTACGCCGGTTTGGGTTTCGTTTTCTCTCACTTGCAGCTGGTAAGGGGGAATCACCCTGGGAGGGGGCTTTTTCTTTCTGAGGACTGTAGTTTTCTGTGGAGAAGCTAATTTCAGGGGACACCCACATGTGGCCAGGTGCAATGCAGGTGACAAGGAGGCCTGGGGAGGGTACATGGAGTAAGAGCAGATGCATGCTGAGCCCAGTGGTGCACACTCATTTTGGAGGCAGATAAAGCAGGAGAGTCCAAGAGGAGAGGAGAGATGAACAGAATAGGGTGAGGGAAGCAGGGCAAGGGTTTCTGGAAAGCTTCTCGCTTGGCTTGGCTGTTTCCCTCCTGCCCCTGTACACTCATAATTCACCAAGCAGCCATAGGGCTGGTCTGAGAGAATAAATCAGATCACTCTTCTCCCTTGCTTTAAACCCTCTATTTTTCTATTGCCTTGGGAATAAAATCTAAACTCTTTACTGTCCCTGGCCAACAAGGCCCCATGAGATCTGACTCTTGCCCACCTTTATCTTCTCCTGCATACCCCCTCCCCGCCCCTCCCCCCCACCAATCCACACCCATTTTGTGCCCCGGGCCTAGAATCATGCATACCTGTCCATATACTGAAAATACTTGTTGAATAAAGAAATAAATCAGTGATTGAAATGAGAACTAAAAAGTTTCTAGTGGATTTGGCATCAATGAAGTTATCGCTGAGTTGGGCCAAAAATCTCTAATGGACCGGGTAAGGGGGAATCTGGATTAAAGAGATTTCTGGAGCAGATTTCTATGGAGAAAGGGCAGACACTAAATGGACTCATCTTCCTGGAATTCCTGAGATAATTTTTAGGATCTTGGGGAAGAGAAGACCTTCTTTATTGTGACAGTAAAAGCAAACTGTAAAAGAAAGAATTAAGTATGTAAAAGGTACCATTTTCTGTAATTAAAAAGCCACCATATGATAGATACACAAATCTACATGTGATAAAGTTGAATAGAACCAACTTCACACACTCGCATACGTATACGTGCATGCACACACACAAATAAGTACAAGTAAAACTGGGGAATCTAAATAAGATCAGAGGATTGTATTGTGCTTTAGACTATAGTTTTATAAGATGTAACCATTAAGAGAAGCCGGGTGAAGTGTACCTACAATCTCTCTGTAGTATTTCTTACAACTGTATGTAAATCTACAATTATTTCAAAATAAAAAAGTTTAATGAAAAAAAAACACCATAAAAAATTAAAAGGTAAGCTGGAAGAGGCTGCTTCAGGCCCTTCTGTAGCTCAGCATTGATAAAGACCCTAAAATATCTGTTCAAAGATATTGAACAGGGAGCAAAGGGGTTTTGAGAGAAAACTCAGGTGAAGCTGGGTCTGGGAAATCAGAACCCACCCAGGAACTCAACAGATCTCCTGCTGGAAAGGATGTATGTGTGTATGTGTGTGTTGGGGTGGGTGTGGGTGATGGACACTGAAAGTTAGAAACAGTGCACAAATTCACCATTATATCATCTCATTATTAATTTTCAAAAGCATAGCTGTATTAATCTGATAAGCAACTACTGGAGAATCAAGCACATTTGTATGGTCAGAGGAAAATAAAGATGTTAGAAAACTGTATGCAACATAACGATTGGACTCTCAGCTCCCTGTTTTAAATATAGGTTTTATTATTACTTAGGTATGGTGAAACAAATTAATCAGGTGATGACTGCCATTGGAAAATGTAGTATATTATCACAGTTCCTAAGAGGCAGAGACAAACCACACCATGCAGGGCCACATAGGGAAGTGCCAGGGTCCTTCTGGAGGCAGAGGAAGCAGGGACTGGGGAGAAAGGTGGGCAAGAATCTTTATGGTGGTTTCCTCAAAAAGGAACGTGCCAGGCCCATCCGAGTATTAACCAGGCCCAACCCTGTTTAGCTTCTGAGATCAGACAAGATCCAGACAAGATCAGGCACGTTCAGGCTGGCATGGCAGTATACAGGAGCAGAAGGTTTAGAATTGGCTCATTTGAATAATTTCAGTGGGCTCTGGGGAATACAGACAAGATCAGGCATGTTCAGGCTGGCATGGCAGTATATGGGAGCAGAAGGTTTAGAATTAGCTCATTTGAATAATTTCAGTGGGCTCTGGGGAATGGGAACTGTTCCTAGTTGTCTGATACCTGGCCCTGGGTGATTAGGGCAGGGAGATAACAGCCCAGTGTGGTGGGGGTGTGGACTCTGGATTGGTTTGTTTGCATGTGAAAGCTGCTCCCAGAAGAGTCTTTTACTTGCTCTAGGAATTGTGTAAACCTGGGATAGGAGGTCTATCCAGAGTCATCAAGACCCCAGCAGGCAAACATCAGAAACACAGGGTCAGTACAGTGCCCATGGTCTAGAACAGGTCCTGGTACCTACTAGGGGCTCAGTGAATCTTTGCCAAGGGAAGGAAGGAAGAGAGGGAAGAAGAGTGGAGGCAGAGAGAGTGGGAGAGAGTTGGCATACTGAGGACACTTTTGTTATTTGTACAGCCCTCTCTGGTTCCTAGGGTTGTGTGAGAACACCCTTCCCCTTTCCTCAGCCATCCAGGAAGTCTCCTAATAGGCAACTCAAATCCTTGACTATAGAAACACAACAAATGGGCTCACCAGGGGGCAATGTTTCAGCCTTCTCATCTTCAACCAGGCAGCTTTTCTATCAATTCACACTTATCCCTCCTTCTGAGCCTCAGACTCAGAGGAGATTTTGTTGTTTTGGTTTTTGGCACTCTGCTAGTCTGTGGTTAGGAAATGCTGCACAGAGAAAAATTCAGACAGTACTTAGCAAGCCCCCCTGCACTGTCCTCCCTGCCCGGGCTCCCCAGTCCCCCTTCTGCATTGTACTTGTGCATCCCAACAGAGACAGTCTCTGCATAAGAGCTACCAGCCTACCTCCTGTACCACCACAAACCTACATGATGTACACATTGATCTCCACTCTGTTTTTTTTTCAGTTATCGATATACCCTGGCTTATTCCACATCTGTTCATATAGAACTGCCTCATTTATCTAAAGTCGAAATAGTAGCCTATAGTTTTGCATGGGCCCTAGTTGATTTAAGCAGACCCCTCCTGGTGGATAGACATCCAGGCTGTTTCCAATTCTGGCTTCTTCTATAAACCATGATGCACTGAATATGCTGCATACATATCCTCATGCACGGGTATGGGTACCTGTAGGATAGATTCTGAGAAATGGAATTGTCTTGTGGAAGGTACACATGTGTTAAATTTTCAGGTTGCCACCCAAAGAGGCTGTTTCAATTTACACCACCATTATATATGAAAGATAACAGGTCTGTCTTTCTGATTAAACGTTTCGCTAGGATGGCAATTCTTTGAATCCTGGAATCTGCTTGGGGGATCAAGCCTGGGGATTCAGGTTTGCAATCTACCCCAGCCAACCATCTGACCTTAAGAGCACAAAGTGTGCCCGGGAGTGGGGAAACTGATCACGCCATCTCTCCAGGCCTCAGTTTCTTCATCTAAAAATAGAGAACTGATGACCTGAAAGTTCTCTTCTACCTCTAACCTTTGAAGTCCTTCTGCCTCCCCAGGCCTCTATGTCCCTATCTGTAAAGTGGGACTAATACCTTGTTTATCTTGCTGGGTGACGTGAGGATGCAATAAGATGGCAGACTGCCAGGAAGTTTGGGTGCTCTGCCAAGAAAAAGAGGTAATAATTAAACATTTTTGGAGTCCCTTGCCAGACCACTAGCATCATCTGGGTCATATAACAGATACTCAGTTAAAGTTTTAGGCTAAAGAAATACTGAATGTGGAGGCAGAATAATGTTAGTACTGTCCAGAGGTAGAAGATGTTTTGACCTATGTTATTCCTTCTGCCTAAAATGTGGTTCTATCTAAGTGTGTATGGCTAACTTCTGTGTCTCCAGGACTGACAGGATAGCCTGGAACACTGTGGTTGCCCATTAAATGCTTCAGGATGCAGTCTGTGCCCAAGCACTCAATGTGGCAGGGTTTTCTTCCAAGTTATCATGTGACTTTGGGGAGTGAGTGGGGAACAAGCTCCTTGGCATCTGTACTTTTCTCCTCCCTGTATCTCCTCTCCTCCTTTGTTTGGGTGGGGTAGACTCCAACAGACTTCTGGTCTAGGGGCCACAAACTTTAATGTCTCATCTTGGTGACTGAGGCAATACATTGGGAGACAGTAGGAAGTAGTAGAAAGTGTGGTGACTAGGGAGGAACAGCCCAGCTCAGCTCCAGCTGTCTCTTATCAGAAGGAAATGGAGGTCCACTTTTTTCCAAGAGAATCTCAAGAGAAGCCATAAATCCACATTTTTCATGAGTTCTCTTGGTTTTTAAATGTTGGTTATTCGGATTTTTTTCCCCAAAAAACTGGGAGTTATACAAAACAGGCTGTACACTGGCGGTGGCCCACAGGCTACCAGTTTTGGTATTCTGAAAACTGTCCCCCAAAACTGTCTCCCTTCCCCACTGTACAGATAAGAAAATTGAGGCCCAGAGAGTGAGTGGGAAGCATTTGCCAGAGGTAATACAATCAAGATCAGAGCCCGGATCCCACTTGACTCATAATTTCTCCTTCTCTCTTTCTCTCCCCCTCCCTTTTTCCCTCTCTTCCCCCTTCTCTCCCTCTCTGTCTCTGTCTCCGTGTCTTTTTGTCTCTGGTACTGTGGTGTGTGTCTGCTCTGTATTCCTGTTTCTCTCTGTATGGATCTCTCAGTCTTTATCTCCTGTTTTCTCCTATGTGTCTTTTTAATTTTGTGATTCTCTGTGTCTCCCTATCTCTGTGTCCCCTGCACGAGTGTTCTTTTGGAAAACAGACCTTTGGAGCTGGGTGCAGAAACTTCCCTGCAGCAGCAGTCGGTCCTGTAGCAGCAGTCGGTCCTGCAGCTGTTCGCTCCACCTCCAGCCCGCACCCCCCCGCCCCCGACCTAGATTTCCGGCGGAGCTAGCAGGCTGGCGGGAGGGGTACCCTTAGGGCTGGCTCACGTCAGCGCCCCTTCCCGGCGGCCGCGACCCCTCCCCGCTGACCTCACCCGCGCCGCCACTTCGCGCGGATATAAGCAGCAGCCCCGCAGAGCAGCGGGCAGCTGGGGTCCGGAGTCCTGCCCGCGCTCCAGGACTCCTGACCCGCCTCTTTCAGACCCTGAAACTCCGGACTCGCAGCCCCAGGACCCCGGACCGGTCCGGCTGAGCTCGCGCCAGGCAGGTAACCGTTACCTTCGTCCCTCTCCACCTGCAGGTGGCGTCCAGGAAACGGGCCCTCTCCGCCCGCCCTCGGGTGCGCCCCGGGAGAAGCGGCGGCATCTGGACACAGGTGGGGTACTGCGCTCGTACCCCCGGGTCTTCCACGGCGCGGGCACATGGTGCACTCATGTCTCGGCGTCTGGAGCGGCGGATGAAAGGTTCGCCAACCCACGCCTGCCTGGCCGCCAGCTTCAGGTCCGCGCCAGGACGCACAGCTAGGCAGTCGGTGCGGCGGCGTGAGAGCTTGGGAGCTAGAAACTGAATCCTGACATTAGAAACACAATTTTCTCGTCGGAATCGAATTTAGCCATAGAATCTTAGTCTCAGCGCTAGAGGTAGAATTTCAGTGTTGGGATTAACGTCGAAATTAGAATTTTAGCGTTGGAATTAGATTTCTAGTTTAGCTATACAATGTTAGCATTAGAGATAGGATCTTAGCGTTGGAATTAGAATGTTGGCCAAAGAGTGTCGGGATAAGACTGTTTAATTGAGAACCTTGGGGAGAATCTTAACCTGGCGAGTCCGCCCCAGCGCTGGCTGCCCCAGCTCCGCCGGACCACTGAGCGGTGGCGGTGGTGACCTAGCTCCGGCAGGCGCACCAAGCAAGCATCTCTGTGGGTGAAGAGCCCTAGAGCCAGAGGCAGATCTTCCCGCTGCTCCCGCTAGGCCCCACAGTGGCAGGTGGTCCTGCTCCCAGGAGTGTTTAAACGGTTTGTTACTCCGGCCTTGGGGACCCACTGGGACAGGAAACAGGGAGGTGGAGCTGGCTGGGAAGGGGACTCGGCGCGCTTATGCTCTCTCTGTCTTCCATCGCCCAGACGCCGCGATGCCTGGTCCTTGGTTGCTGCTCGCTATGGCTTTGACCCTGACCTTGACCGATGTCCCCCGCGGCAGCGCACAGCCAGAGGTGGCTCAGCAGGAGGCAGCGATGGCTACCGAGTACCCGGGCCTGGACGACCTCCTGCGCCAGGCGGAGCGCCTCCTCCTCCTCCGGGAAGACCTCCAGCGGCTGCGAGGGGACCAGGGAGATCGCGAATCTGGTGAGGGGCGGGTCTGTCCGGAGCTGCCTGGGTGAGAGGAGGCAGAGGAGAGGGCTGATGGACTCTCAGACGCAGAGGGGAAGGAGCGACTAGATCAACCAGCCACATGCCTTTCAGAAGTTCAGAAACTCTTATTGGCCACACTCTTGGCAGAGTCGTGAGTTGACCCTTTCCTAGGATCAGATTCCTCTTTTACCTCAGTTCTGGGAATATTTCACAGAGAACAGACCTTCAGTGGGGAAGTTTCTCTGCTGGAGAGAGAGTCTATGAGGGTGACAGTTCTAATTACTCCTTACCAGGTGCATATATGCACTCACTATTCTAAGCACTTCAAACACCTTATCACGCTATTTGATCTTAACAACCTCTTAGGTAGGTACTGTGATTACCCTTCACTTTACACAAAATAAAACAGACTCAGAGAGGTTAAATGAGTTGTTTATGGTCACACAGCTAGGGAGTGACAGAGCTGGAATTGGAGCCTTTGACCACCTTTGTGAGCGTGTGTGTCTGTTAGTCCTGAGGCAGGTGCAAGGCCATGACTGGGTAAGTGCTTCAGGGAATCCTTCTTGATTGGGAGGAAGGCTGAAGGGGGTACTCAGGGGTCTCTCACTGGCCTCTTTCGTCCCTTAAGAGTCCCAGATCTTTCAACCTGACTGGCTCTCCAAGCGTCAGCATCCAGGCAAAAGGGAAGAGGAGGCAGAAGAGAGAGTTGAAGAGGAAGAGGAAGAAGAAGGGGCTGTGGGACCCCACAAACGGCAGCACCCAGGCCGGCGGGAAGATGCAGCTGTGTGGTCTCTTGAAGCGACCCAGCAGAAGCGGCAGCACCCTGGCAGGCGTTCCTCTTGGCTTGGGTACACTTTCACCAAGAGGCAGCACCCAGGCAGACGGCTGGTGGATCCCAAGGCCCAAAGGAGTTGGGAGGAAGAGGAGGATGGAAAGGAGCAGGAAGAGGAGGGAGAGCTGATGCCTGAGAAACGCCAGCATCCGGGCAAGAGGGCCATGGGAGGCCCATGCAGGCTCCGGGGAGCCTGTGGTCAAGCCAGCCTCCTGCTAGGCCTCCTGGATGACCTGACCAGGGGCCAGGAGGCAGAGAAGCGGCAGCACCCGGGCAGGCGAGAGGCCTGGGCCAGGGAGCTTCTGGAGGAGTGAGCCCAGTTTCCTGTGAAGTCAAGTTTGAGATCTAAGACTGTCTTGAGCCCTGTATGCTCTATCCCTTTGTGACCCCCTTTTTCTCTCCTCCTTAGCTCTTTGATCATAAACCCGAGACGCCTTGTATGTACAAACCCCTGGCCTTCAGGGACATGGGAAAGCCAGCCTATGAGTTAAAACCCCATATTACTCCATTTTGTATCGCTGGCAAGCAGTCAGGTCCCAGAGTTCCTTTACCACCTTGCAAGCCTGCTCCTGTTCTTTAGCCCTGCCTGAGATGACCCTTCTGTGTCTTCTAAGGGATCCCCAGAAAAAGGCAGAGTGCCTCTGGGGAAAGCAGCCAGTGAGGTGGGGTGGGATTAAATGTCTAAATCTAACTTCTATTTCCTGCCCCATGTGTTAGGATCTACCACATGTAAACTTTACCTTAGAACCCAGAATCTCGCCCTTTCTTGGGTGTTTTGTTTGTTTGCTTATTTTCTTGTGGTGGGCAGTGACTGACCCTCAGCTGTATTCTTGGAGGAAGCATTTTAGGTGGAGATCCCTTGTGGTGCTGTGCTGTGTGGTGGCCGTGGGATAAATGTATGTGGGAATATGTAAACATCACCCTGGAAGTTGTGGCTTGTATATAACCTGTTAAACGCCTTCCTCTTGTCAATGGCAATCATCCTAATGATAATAAAACATTCATCTAGATAATGTTGGAGCTCTGTGATTATGGTTTTGTCTCAGCACTTACACTTTCCTGTGTGGGGTTTCTCTTATCAGCATTGAGGGGGGACAGGACTAGCACTCCCTAGCTCTGCTGAGAAGGGAATAGGACCCCAGGGAATAAAAAGTCCTTTCCACTGCCCCCATCTCAGAGCAGGCTTGGGAGATGGACAGGGACTCTGGAGCCCATTTGACACCTGGGAAAACAAGCTAAGAGAAGAGGAAGGGCTATGGAAGACACAAAGCTGGTTAAAGTGGAGCCATGGGTCTGAGAGGCCATCTCAGGACCCTCCTTGATTTGCCTGGTTTGGTGAGAGGGCTAGTGTGGCTCAGGTTTATAATCAACATGGTTCTGTGGGAGAAATCAACAGTCTTTGTCATCTGGCAGGCACAATGAGAACAAAAGTTATGGTTGGGAACTCAAACCAGGGGCCTTCTGGGGCCAGACAAGGAGGCAGGCTGGATACAGTACAAGAGGGAGTGATGGGGACTGGGGCAGACTGATGGATACTTAAATTCTAAAGATACTTAAATTCAAAAACTTTAATATTGTGTGAATCAAATAATAATAACAACAATAATATATATACAACACTTATTATGTGTCAGGCACTGTCCTAAATACTATACATATATTAATTCTTTTAATCCTCACGGCAATTCTTCTAGGTATTACTAACATTATGCCCATTTTCCTAATGAGGAAACCAAGGTTCGGAAAGGTTAAGTAACTTGTCTGAGACTGAATTTGGCCCACTCATTGCCAGTTTGCACCCTCTGATTTAAACTAAACTCCAAAATTTCTTTGGGCCTTAGACTTAATTAGTTTAGACCACCTCCTGTTTGACAGATGGGTGGGCTATTTAGCTTTTCTGCAAACAGCCTTTGTTCACCTTCTTGGGTAGAGGAAGGAAGAGGCCAGAAGGGGGTCTGAGCCCCAGCCCCTTTCCTCAGTGAGCTCACAGTTCAGGTGGGGTGGGTTTGGAGGAAGACGTGGGTTTATAAGATGCATTCACAGCCATCATCTCCATTAATACTTCCCAAAGTCCTCTAAAATACTGAGCATTTGATGAATTTTCAGATTTTTCTCATTTTTAGGCAAGGGAGCCAACACAGAGACTAAAGTCTTGTCCCAAGATGCACAAAGCATGTACAGCTGGCCTTCCGTCTAGGCTTGAGGTTTCACCCCGATGGGTGGAAGCTCTTAAACATCCTGCTATTGCCATCAGGGCAAGTGGGGCCCTAGCAAGATCTCCCTTGCTCATTGACCCCCTCCGAGGTGGGTGCCTTAATAGAGGTAATAAAGACCACTTATACAGCAATTCTTGAGTGCTCAGCACTTACACTTTCCTGTGTCCACCCCAGGAGGCCAGCTGTCATATCCACTCTCAGTTAATGAAAGTTGACTTGCAGTTGGGTGTGAATAAGTGAAGTGCTTGCCTAAGGACACACCCCACCTTCTCTTGCTTCCAAATTTGATTGATGTGAGAATGCTGTTACCTCCTCAGATGTGAGACCGCTTGAAGAGTGAGAAACTCACCCTTCCAGCCATTTAAGGTTTTTCCCCTCTGTCCCTGTGAGTGATCATATGTAGCATGATCTGGGCATTGGCTTCTGTCCTGGACAAATGATTAAACTAGTTTGAGCCTCTATCCTCTCATCTGTAATATGGGCACTGTAATCCTACACCACCCTCAGAGTTGTTCTAAGGATTAAATGAGATGGAGTGATATGTGTACAGTCCTAGCACAGTGACTGGTACCAAGCAGACCCTTGATAAATGGCATTTTTAGCTTTAGTATTCCAAGACTAAAGAGGACTCAAAACAGAACCTTGCCAACCCACTTGTTCCTTCTATCCTTCATTTGCCAATCATGAAAAAATCATGGGGCTTTATTGTGAGCCCATACTGGGCATTATAGCTTTACCCTTAAGGTAGTCTATGTACTGCTCCCCCAAATCCCCTTTTGCTCAGCCTAGGATGCTTTGGTGGAGATGGGCCATTCGCTTCCCTACATTTTCCAGTCTCCCTTGCAGTTGCAAGGGAGTCATCTGACTAGCCCTAACCAATGGACTGTGAACAGAAGGGTATCACTCCTAGGATGAGGAAGTTAGAGTCCATTAGCCACCTTTACCCACTTTCTTCCTGCCAAAGAAGCCTGGGAGGTTGCATGTAGAAATGGCAGAGCATGTGACAGAGGGATTCCAGACCCTGGCATCACCAGATGGAAGTTAGATACTGCTCATCCACATCAGGCTTCTCATGTGCAAGAAATAAACTTGTGTTGTATTAAGTCATTGAGATTTCAGAGTTTATTTGTTATTGCAGTAAAACTTAGCCAATTCTGACTAACACAAATGCCCCTTTTTTTGTTCTGTCTCCACTGAAATTTTTTCCATCTTTCCCTTCTCGCATGTGTCTACCTTCATCCCGTTACCTAGATCAGGGCCTGGCACAAAGTAGCTGCAGGCAGGCACTGCAGTCTTGGTGGCTATACTCCTGGTGAGTCTGCCCCGGTGGATATTTATTGAATAGATGTTGAAAGCATCAGGTCACTTCTATTTTAGTTCCCCAGTCTGACTTCTGAGAGCTTCCTGTCTTCACGAGGCTCCCCATCTAGTTACCTGTCTTCAAGAGGCTCCCCATCTAATGGGGAGACAGACAAACAAACAGATAGATGGTCACTTAATGTGAGCAAGGTTGACTGTGGCAAGCAAAGCATGTAAGGGGAACACAGAAGAGGGATGGTTGGGCAAAGCAGAATTCTTGAAGGAGGAAACATCCAAGCTGAGTCAAAGGATAAATAAGAGGATAGATATTTCAGGCAGAATGAAAAAGCATTAACAAAGGCCCCGTGGGAAGAAATAACATGTTCTTGGAGTCGCCAACATTTGAAATATGGGGTGTTTCGGACCATCCCTTCCCTCCTCCATCTTATCCTTTAGCCCTGAAGGGGATATTGCTCATCCAGGCTTTATGACTTAGCCTCCTCCTCTCCCTGGTTCAGTCCTGTCTCCACAAAAAGACTCTGATTGTCACAGCTATAAGTATGTGAAAATGGTGTGGTTTGGGGTAGAATTGAAGAAGCCTTCCTGGGAGAAAGAATACTTGAGTTGAGCTTTGAAGAATAAAAGAAAAAGAAAATTTTTCCTGAGCACTTGCTCTGGGGCTAGACATTGGGAAAAGCAGTTTTACACTTACTGGCAGGCACATAGTAGGTGACTTATGAATATGTTGAATGAATGAATTACCCATCATAGTCAACCCCAGTTTAGAGAAAAGGAAACCAAGAGACAAATAAAGTGACTTTTCTAAGCTCATGGGTCTGAAACTTGGGAGCTGTCTCTATGCCTCTCCACCCTTGTCATCTAATTTTTACTGTGTTCTCTAGATTTTACCTCCTAGACATTTCCTTCCAGCTCCTCTGCTACCACCCTCCTTTTGGCCACCATTATCCCTCTTCCTGAGGCCTCAGTGGCCTCCTCGCTGGTTTCTGGCTTCCATTCTTATCTCTCAAACCCATTCTTCACACATAGGCAGAGGGACCTTCTTGAAGTACAAATCTGATCATGGCAACCACCCTCCATAAGACCTCTCAGTGGCTTCCATTTCACCTAAGATAAAATCCAAATTCCTTACCATGGCCCATCCAATTGGCCTTTTTTGTTTCCTGAACACACCTTAGGGCCTTTATTCACATTATTCTCTCTGCCTAGAGCCCTCTTTTCTCTTATTTCTCATATTCTCCATGTTACCTCCTAGGGAGCCTTTCTGTATTGTGGAAGTTGGAAAGCAAAGACTAATTTTCCAGATTCCCTTGCAGCTAGAGTTTTGGATGCACAGTATGTTCTCCATATGGATGCTCTCGTGTGAGATTAGGAAGT